ATAAATTATGGCCGTGTTTGGAAAACAGCTTTTCGGATAGCTTTTGACATCGTTGACTGACTTTGGCTTTTATGACTAAGCGAACAACCAAAACCATTATTTGGCTAATGGCTTTTCCACTTGGCATTTCGATCTGAAAAGCTAAAATCTGAAATGCCAAGAGGAGTAGCATTTGGACTTGGCTGTTTAGAATTTTTTTTAAAATCATTTTTGTTGAAAGATATTTTATAATATATGTAAAAAAATAAAATTAAAATTAAAAAAAAATAAATACTAAAAAAATAAAATTTAAAATTTTCAAAAAATGAAATGAGAGAATAAAAAGTAAAAATCATTAAAAAGTTTTATATTAATAATTTCTTATGAATTAAATAAAATTAAACTTTAATGCTCCATATAGTAAACATTTAATTTTTACATGTAAAAATATGAAAAATAAATATCATGTGTGTTTGTGTATGTGTGTGTGTGTATGAAAAAGTATTTACAAACAGCTAATTTTACCAATCATTTTTAACGATCAGCTAATACATCCTGTCGGTCAAACCAGCTAAACTAAACAGCCATTCACAACAGCTGGCACAAACTGCCAACAGCCAACAGCTGACAGCCAACATCCAAACAAGGCCTATATAATACTCCATAATAGATTGCATTACAAAATCATAATTTGAAACATTCCATCAAACCATAGTTCACATAATATTCATTTTTATGGGTAATACATGAATTTATATATATGGATGGACATTTATTTCACAGGTCGCTGACATGGGTCGCTACACGCCAAGCCCTCTCAGATTCTCTTATGCCGACACTTTCCAACCCTGGAAACTACACCGGGTAGTCTCCGAGGGATGAGATCATCAAGGTTAGGAAAAATAGGGTGACAAAGTAGTTTGACCGGTATACCTTTTCGTGAAGTATACCGGTCATCTTTGGGCCGATTACATATCAATTTGCTGACGATTTAAGTTTCCCTCCCAAAACTTTCGAGATTGACCGGTCAACTAACTGGTCTTCTTCTTTGACCGGTCATGGGTGGAATACACCCATCAGTTTCTATTGAGAAATGGTATTATTTTTCCCCTTTGTTTGTCCCCTAATAAATTTTTAGCATTTTGCTTGTGTTTGCATTCTAAAATTATTTATTCTGTTTATGTTTAGTTTGTATGCGATGAAATGATATTCTCTTATGTTCAAAGATATTGGGTCTGGCCTAAGAGGAGACATGTGGGATGAACCCTAACCTTAGGGTTTCCTTGAACGTCGATAAAATAGACTTCTTTGTCATGGTATTGCAAGAAAAGGCTTGTAACTTTTATCAATTTGATTTCCTCGTATATCATATAGAGTATTTACAATATTATATCTGATACGTTTTGATGAATAAAAAGTATACATATCTTAGATCAATAGACCATTTTCCATTGGATGTGTCCTTTGCATATTTTTATAATATCAAAATCTTTAGATCATCCATGAATCAAGAATTAGATTCATGGTGTACGATCATACCAACAGTTTAACAATTACCCTCCCAAAGGAAGACTTTAAAAAGATAAAAAAACATTTCACGTGTTAAATGTTAGAGTATCCCACATCGGAAATTGAATAGAAAAAGAACCGGTATATAATCCTAAATTCTATCATGGTATTAAAGCAGGTTTTGGCTCACCTCGTTTGTCAAGGTGTCCGTCTAGACGTTCATTCTTAGCGGCTCATTAGTCTTTAGCCCAGTTGTCCGTATGGAGTATGTACCCAACGGCCTGTGGCCCGTTTAACACGATTGCTCATCTGGAAGTCCATATCCAGCGGCTCGTGGTCCTTTAGGTGTTGGCGCTCAAAAAAATCAAGGGAATGAGAGTTTATTTGCAAGTGGTCAACCGGTTAGATTCAAAATGGCCCGGTTGTGCACTTGAGGGGGAGTGTTAGAGTATCCCACATCGGAAGTTGAATAGAAAAAGAACCGGTATATAAGCTCTTGAGTTGAACTAAATAATCGATTGGATTCAATCTTTTAATGTGGTTCAGCCCAAGTGTCTTATAGCCCAATCCAGTTGTCCATACTCATCCTAAATTCTATCATTAAGGACCGCATAGTTGAAGAAATGGCATTCCAAAGACCAAATTGCTTTTTCATATCACCATTCTTTATGCAGTAAAATCTCCATCTTCACCTATTCTTGCACAAACCAATACAAGAAACAAACCAGTGATACATATACTAAAGAGAGAATATTAAATAACGAAGTATTTAATTGACACTAAAACATTGGACTTATATCAAATTAAGCCAATCTATATTTTATGAGAAAAAACTAAAATATGAGTAAAATATAGATTATATATCAAAATATGAATTTGATATTTTTATTGGGGAAAACACTAAAAAGGGAGTTAAACATTAAAAATATATCAAAATAGAAATTTTTTCTATATTGTTATTGTTAGAGTATATAACAATCATTCCTGGGCCACAACCACAAGTTTGAGCTTTTGGTTGAGTTTGTTCCTTGACATGTTATCAGAGTCTTGATGACCAAGAGGTCACGAGTTCGAAACTCAACGCCACCCAAAAAATTAAAGTTTCACGTGCAAGGCTCAAAGAGGTCACGCTGCACGTGAGGGGGCGTGTTAGAGTATATAACAATCATTCCTGGGCCACAACCACAAGTTTGAGATTTTGGTTGAGTTGGTTCCTTGACAATTATCATCAAAATAGAAATTAAAATGCATATACACTACCAATCATGACCATATATTATAAAAAGTATTGTAGAATAATTCATATAGAATGCTACATTATCACAGTGTAAACTCTTGTTTTAGAGATAAAAACATAGAATTTTTATTTTGGTCCTATCTCTATGATATTTTGGTTCTTTCTCTATGATTTAACTCTATTTATGGTGATTTTTTTAATTTTTAAATAGAAATTAAAACGTACTTTTAATGACAAACACAACAATATATAATACCCAAAAATATCATGAAATGTTCATATACAATGACACATTGTCACAGTACAAACTTTTATTTCGGAGATAAAAACATATAAATTTTATTTTGGTTTTTTTATGTTTTATTATTATTCAAGATGATTTCTTATATTTCATATTTTAAATAAGAGTATTGACACAATTTAGCATTGTATGTTTGTACTTTACACTATTTTTATGTATACTATTTATTAGTACTCCCTCTGTCCACCATAAATCTTTTCAGACACTATTCACATGGTCAAATCTTACTCACTTTGTTTGCTCATTTTTACTAGTCATTTCGTAAAATAATATAGTCTTGTCACATCTAGTTTTGTAGAATTTTTCATGTAGTTTATTACTATATAAACTTTATTTTAAAATTTTACTCCTATAATCAATTAAATTGAATTGAAAATAAAGTCGGTGAAACCTCGGCAATGGAAAATTGTAGGTGAGGGAGGGATTACTATTTATTTTCTGCATTACTACAAGTTTATTCGTTATGTGTTTGTAAACAATGGTGAAACTTAACAGACTATGAGATTTGTACCTCAGAAGGTTTGGGCGTGGGACATCTAAATGGAAGGCGGCGAGGGGTTGAAGGTGCAGATTTAGCAGACAATGAAGGCAAAGTGCGGGAGAGCCATGACTCCGATGGAGATTCCGGCAATGGCGGCGGCGAAATCGGAAACTCAAAACTCAAATCTGCCGAATGCTTTAATTTTCTACTCCTCATCTCCTCCTTTATACACCTTTAATTTCTTCGTCTTCATCGAATCTATACGACGAAGCTTGCAGATCTAACCCTAAATTTCCTCGATTTCTCATATACTCCTCTTTTTCCGCTCCATCATCATCATCACCGTCCTCGTCCTCATCCTCTTCGCCATCATCATCATCAGTAAAAGTGAAATCTGCAGCGAATTCTTCTTCGTCTTCGTCTTGCTCGTTCATCGTCATCCTTGGAGAATCTGTTTCTGGAGTTGAAGATTTCTCCGTTTCCTGCATTGAACTAGGACGATCTGCGGCCATGAGATCTTGAAGCTTTCTGCAGAACTTTTTGCAGGTTCTCATGGCGTCAAGCCCCGCGCTAGCTGCGAATCTGTGACTGGTATTAAGAGCATCTGAAATCTGCTTGGTCACATCACCCCTTTGGTCGCTGCAAATCAATTAATCAAACTTTGTATGAGAATAGAACTCACTCAATCGAGCCATTAAACAGATTGAATTCAATAACCTTTATAATTAGCTCATTTTTTCTCTCTAATTTTTTGGATATAGGATACTTTGAGCTAAGCTGGGACTAATACCTTATCATTTACTCTCGTGCACGAATGAGCAAACGAGTATTTTTGCACTCTATGAAAATTCGTTGCGGAAATGGGATTCACGATGAAAATTGAGCTTCTCACGCAAAAACGAGGCACCCCTCGAAAAGCTTTAGGGGGGAAACAGTTCGCTTGTACTTCGGCGTTGTCTTCTCCTTTGAAATCGTGTGATTGGTGATAACGTCGTATCCTTCTCGGTCCTTGATATGGCCCTTGATTTCTAGGGGCGTATATGGGCATTTCTGAACCTTTTCCCTTATTTGCTCGCAAGAATAGCCCGATCATGAAGTCCTTCGTGTGTGGATTTGTCTTGTCGGTTGCGTGGGACCCTTTAAAGAACACGAAGTTTGTTTCTTGTTGTTCTTCGATGTTTGTGAAGCTTAGCCTCCTTCTAACGGCTTTATCAAAGCATTAATGCCTGACATTTACCGTTCTATCCATGGGAGAAGATTTGGGTTTCCCGGGGCTATCTTCCCACATGAAGGGCACCACCCCGGGGCTCCTCACTGGGTCGTTCTCCTTGACCTTGTCATCGTCATCTTTACTACTCTTAGGGGACGACGAAATTCGCCTCACGGACAGAATTGGTTGATTCAATTTTAGTTTCTTCTCTTCATCAACATTCTTTCTCAACATTTATGTGTCTTTTAAATAATTCTTCTTGTTGTTATGCCTCTCTGCAACGTCAAATAATCACGTAACACATATCATCAGATAAGAAGAAATATATTATTCTCTATATAAATATCATATAATTACAATAATTGATCTTGGAATTTAAGTTGATTTAAAAACCGATTAATGGTTTAATTTGAGGACATTCAAAAGTGGGAATAGCCCATTTTGAGAGAAAAAAATCATTTCAATATCAAATCCAGAAATTGTGCAGCATCATAAACACAATTAATAAAAATTAAACATGGGTATACATAATTAAATATACGGTTTCTTTAAAGAAAATAGTAAAAATTATTACCTTAACAAACAGAAAAAGTTGAGATTCGAGATTGATGTTCTTGCATGAAAGGTTATGCGTGAAAAAACCCAACAAAAAGTCACATATATATATATAAAGTGGTTGGAAAGGTTAATTAAAATTCTAGAAAGATTAGCAAAAGGAAAGAAGAAGTAATTAGGAATAACCCACTGAAGAGGTTTGCTCATGCATGCATTTGGAATTTCTTGAGAGTGAGTTAAGAGCATTAGCCCTTAGTTTTGATAGCTTCCATTAATGGAAAACTCTCCAAATTCTTTAATAATAAAACTGAACTTATGTATCTTACAAGTGCACAACTAGTTAGTGAATGCATGGGAATAGTTCATACAATATAATGCTTGTTATTGTTTAAAGTTAATGTAAATTACAAAAAAAAATAGATTTTAATTTTGAAAGTAAGGACCAATGTCATAACATGAAACCAGTAATATAAAAAATTATTCTTCTCACTTCAAATCATCAAAGCTATATAACTTGTAACTGCGAAATAGAGGACCTTGTGGCACACCGTCACGGTCGACCCTGCAAATTGAATGTGTTAAATTTGATAAAACTAAAGAACAAGCTCAGGAAATTATCTTTTTAGAAAATTTCAGAATTCTATAATTTTGAAATAAAATCTACCCTATGGTATAATTTACAACATTTTCAAAAATATATTGAGTATATTTTAATTTAAAAACTTTTTATTTGTAAAATCTGACAATTTATTTTACTCTAAGTAGGAAAAATACATCCCCTTAATTTGGTGATTGTACACCGGTATGGCCATATGTACCAAGCATTCTCCCCATTTGGACATCTTCCCATGCACCTTCTAGCCTTCTAATTAAATCAATCATAGTATTCTTTTATTTTAACGCGTCCTCTCACATGTAAATTATTTTTTTTTATAAAAGCATGTAAGAAATTTGAATATACTCTGTGTTTTATTTGTTCTTTGTTATTAAGGATATCTTTTAGTTAAATTTACTGCAGATTTTATTTGTTTTAAAAGTTACTCACTGTAAATGTGGTCTTAATCATGGGGTTTTAAAAAAGCTGGAAAACGTTTAGAATCTCTTAATCAGTGTCCTTAATCATGAATTAATGACCTGGTGCTTAGAATTGTTTGGCTACTCCAAAACTCCGACGAGAAGGAAGAAAAAAGGGAGGAGAAACAAAAAGAAATGCTCTCGTTGAGAGTCGAACTCAAGACCTCCCGCTTACTAAACGGGTGCTCTAACCAACTGAGCTACGAGAGCTGTTTTTTCATCTTTTCTGTTTATCTTATATATACCTCAATACTCGTGTTCTTCGAATCTAAACGAATACGGCTGGGAAAATTAGTCCTAATGCAAATCTGAGTCATTTGAAAACATGGTGTGTTTGATTTTGACGATTTTATTTGTATCATTTCTGAACGAAAGAGAAAGACTTGGCAAATCTGAAGAATTGTGTGATTAAATAAAGTTTATTCCAAAGGGAGTAGGATAGTATGAAACACATTACCGGAGTATTTTTAAAGGCTTTGTTGTTTTAAACTCTAATTTATTTTGTACTCTCCCTGTCTAAAAAAAATAGTAATAAAAGTGTCGTTCTCATTTTGGGTAAATAAATGTTTTGACACTCGAATACAAGCAAATGACTTTAAGATGCTCCAAGTGATCCAAATTGAACTTTTATGTTTTACTTTTTTATAACAATAATAATATGCATCATGAATGTTTTTGTGGGAAGAAAATAGAAAGTACTCCGCAATATCTATAACATGCTCCGTATACGTTGTGAGAAAGAATTCTGATATCTTTCTTAATCGTTTATTATTCCCCAACACTGGCTACCGGCGTCATAGCCAACTACTTTCGTCGTCGGTCACCCAAACATATAGTTAAATAATAATCTTAAATTTATCCAAACAACTTCATTCCATATTTTAATATAAATCATTTGTGTCATATTTCAAAACTCATTGTCTCATACTTTTAAATTTCACCAAACAGTCGTTAGACTTTCTTTTTTACTTTGTCCCAACTAAATTTGAAATTTATATTTATATTAAGACTTTTTAGAAAATAGTATTTCTAATTTGGAATAGTGGTTTTGATAGGTTTCAAGTATTACTCTCTTTATCTCAATTTCAATCGTTTGTTTCAGTTTACGATGTTTGACATGTGTTATTTCCAAATCATTTTATATAAAAAATACGCTGTAAATTTAAGAATAAATATTACATACTCCGTATTTAAAAACTATAGCAAAATATCTACAAAATAAGTGATGATATAATTATATTATTTTATCAAATGATTAACGAAAACAGGGAAAAAAATACCGAGTAAATAATATTTGACTCTATGAATAATAAAGAAATACTCCGTAATTTAGAACCTGTTTGGGAATAGCATTAGAGATTAGCGTTAGCGTTTTGGATAAAATTTTAATGGTGCAGATTACTTTAAAAATGCTAACGCTAAACGCTGGCCGTAGATAGCCTTTTCAAAAGGCAGACCCTAATCTCTAACGCTATTCCCAAAGAGGCCTTAGATTGAGACAAGAAATTGAACTTTTCTTTGAGTTCTCGGTTATTTATTTCTTGCACACGGTAATTACCGGTCATATTCTTACACATCTCTCCAAAAACATTGTCTCTTTCTCTCCATCGGCAAATCAAAGAATCATGAGGACCTTGCAGACGGTGGGCTACCGGAAAGGAGACGCCGTGGAGGTGGCGAGCAACGCCGAAGGCTTCGTGGGCTCGTACTACGAGGCGACGGTGGTGGCGGAGCTCCCGGGCGGCAAGGGGTACGTCGTCCAGTACAAGACCCTGGTAAACGACGACCACTCCGGGCCGCTGACGGAGGCGGTCTCCGCCGCGGAAATCCGGCCGCATCCGCCGGAGATCAAGGCGGCGGAGTTCGACATGGAGGAGGCGGTGGACGCGTTCGACAACGACGGGTGGTGGCTCGGCCGGATATCCGGGAAGATCGGGAACCGTTACTACGTTTACTTCGATTCATCCGCCGATGAGATCCTTTACCCCAGACACAAAATCAGAGTTCATCTTGATTGGGATCGCCATGCCTGGATTAATTCCTTCGCAGATCCCAATCCAATCAATTAATTAATTATTCTTGATTTTTAGCTTGTTTTTCATACTTTTTTTAACGAATATATAAAGATTTGCATGTGTATTTTGTATAACATGAAGCAGATCTGTGGAAATACCAAAAATTGTCATCATTCTGATATATGATGTAGATTAACATAAGATTACTTGTAAAGAAAATGATCATTATTATATACAGAGTACATTTCATTTTTAGATTATACTCCACAATTTGAATAAAAAATAATTTCTATCAAGCTTAAAGTGTATTTTTTACAAATTCACTGTAGATAGTGGAAAGAATAAAATGCAATGTATTATTACAAGTACACGGTAGATAGTGGTAAAATGCAATGTAGTGTAAAAAGCAATCTCCAGAGTGTATTTTTACAAGTTCACTGTAGAATGAAGTAAAACACTAACACTAACATGGAAATGTAAAACACTATTGATAGTGTAAAATGAAGTTTACACTACCAATTTTTACACTATACCTTGGAGATGCTCTAAGTGCAACACTAACATGATGCTAGTGTTACACTTACCTTTTGTACTTGTAGAAAGCTTTAGGGCACAATAGATACAAATTTCTCTTCTATGAAGATATACAAGGAAGCTAATACTCTATAATACGATTAAATATAAAATATGCTCGCAATTGGTAGGGATCATGTATTAGGCACAACTTGATCCTCATTGACCGTAAAGAAATTAAAATTGAACAAAAACACAGAAATGGAAATGAGTATATGCAAATAAATATAGATACAAGAAACTATGGTGTATGCTTCATTTGCTTGATCATTTAAAATGATTGATTGTACCACAACTACACCATTGAAGGAAAGACAGGAAAAGTAAATCTACCATCAACAACTCTCACATGTTCTTTAAAGATTCCTACTAATGATGCCAACACCATTTTGCACAACAATGAAGTTAAATGGGTTCTAAACTACTACATACCCTACAAGATCAGATTCTGCATACAAAATACAAATGTCTGAATATCTGAAGTGTTAAAAAAAAAGCTACTTTACACACCTTGGGTACTCAATAGGGATTATTCTTCTTCTTCGTCTTCTTCAGGCTTGCATGTAGCATTTTGTTTAAAGCTCTTGGACAGCCATATGGCAGTTTCCCGAGGAGACACCTTCCCTGGCCCAAATGGCTTTAACAAAACGCCGAGCTCATCAAGCCGTTCCTCTTGCATCAGCCTTGCGCTAAACTCAAGCAGCCCTTCTAATGCTTCGGCTCTGTGTTTGTAAGACGACATGTCAAAACGGTGGCGCCTTTGGTCTGATGAGGTTTGACTCGATGCACCAGCCGTTGCATTTTGATCAGAACAATTGCTTCTCTCCTCCTCCCTATCCATTCCCAGCATGAGGGGGCTTGTGAATCCTTGCCAACCACCGGTACAGCTCAGTTTATCAGATTTGTTGTCAGGGGGGATCTGGAGGATTGTGCATTTATCTTTCCTGATTGAACAGACCCCTTCGGGGGACCCACAAGAGTCTTGCGCAGAAACTGATGATGTTTTGCAGACAGGATGGGAAGGTTCTTCATATGAGGCTAAAGGGAACTCGAGCATCTTATCTATTCGGGGGGCATACACGGAAACATCTTGAGATTTGTAGCAATCAAGGATGCCAATGCTGGGCCTGCGAGGCACCTCTTGAACAGCAGCTTTAGTGGTGCTTAAGGGCGAAGATTCTTTACAAGTTGCGGGAATAAACCTCTTCACCAAAGTTCTTGAAGTAGGAACCTGCATTGCAGATACTAAAGAAATTAAATGAAGCAAATAGGCCAAGTATAATGCCACAACCTTCAACACTGAATATATCCTGAAAAATAATGCCACAATCCTCACTTAATAAATAAAGCAAATGGTAAGAAAGGCAATCCCACATCCCTAAACGACCATATATTATTTCGATCAATCTAATTTTTAATTCTAACATAAGCATTAATTCTAACATGATACTCTCTCCGTTCATTATTCTTGGAACATGGGGGAGTGGCATGGAAATTAAGAAAATTAAGATTGTGTGGTTGAAGTTGATATTAAAAAGCAAGATAAAGTAGGAATGAATGTGAGCCACACAAATATGACCAAATATGGTATGACTTATGAGACAAAAATCGTGAGACAAACAAAAGGGTAAAAAGGAACAAAACATTGTGGGGCATAGGGAGTACATCGCACACAATATGTACATGCATACTTCACACACTCATCAAAAGGTTACAATTCTAAATCAGATTGAAGCTATGTGCTTATGAAGTTGTACACTTATACTGTGTTAGATTCAAAAGGGTGGGTAAGATTCATAAATTACAGAAAATTCGTGTCAAACATGCTTTGTTGTCTTTTTCCTATCTATTTGGTGGGGGAGGCTAATAAGAATCAATTTCTTTGTTCTAATAATTATTTTGTGAATTTCTCTCGAAATATGTAGGCATGTAGAAGCCTCACTCTGGAGGACAGGAAACCCTATTCTATATTTCTATTCTCATGTGCTTGTAGCAGAAGCATTCTCACCGAGGAAGAGAGGAATCCTATTCTATATTTTTACTATTTTACATCAGTGGTTTTGAACTTGAAACTGGAAATGAAATAATTAGAAAGTAAACACAGCCACAGTAAGTAGTCTATGTAGTAAATTAGTAATAGCATTTTCAGATATGGAACAAGGGAAATCAAGGAGTTTTCAAAACCATACCATCTCGCTGTGCTTCAGTGCTGATGCTTGTCTCTTTGCAGAGGAAGAATTTTTTGCCAAAGTTCCTTTCGAGTTCTTGGTAGCATTTGCAACATTTGAAGTAATTTTTTTCGTGATGGTTCCTCTTTCAGTGCTTCCTGTAGACAATGCAGTGATTTTACTAGGTGTGTTGCAGTACTCTTGAGCAGAAAAGGTAATGTCATGATCTGTTTCAGAAACACTGGGATTCAATGTCCTGTCATTGAAGCATGACAAGCTCTTCTCTTGGTTACCACGAATATGTTGTGGACCTGTGAATCTGGATTTCTTTATGTCACTATCGGGCCAGCAATTTGGTAAACTATTACGCCGAGGACTATTGAGTTTAAGATGAATGCTAATCACATGAGGCTGGAGGTGTGGGTGCTTAAGAAGCTCTGCAGCCTGCCATGTCAATTGTACAGTTGTGGGTTATAATTGAATGGCAAAGCCAATGGCATGTTTGTTCTAATGTCAGGTAGTTGTACAAAAAGTGGATAAATGAGACCACATACACTAGGCCGTATTTCTGGATTTTTCCGGAGCATGCTCTTTACAAGACTACGACTGGGAGGAAAAGAAGTAAAAAAAAGTTAGATAGGGCACAGCAGGCAACTAAAGAAAATAATCCAATAGCAGGCAAAGGCAACTGAAGAAAATGCCAAAAGTTAAGTAGAGCACAGCGGGCTACTAAAGACTCCACACAGCTTCAGACTTGTGGCATTTTTGGATTCCTTTCGCCTTTAAAAAATTACATTAAAAAATTC